ATTAAAAACAAATTTATTTAAATACTTTTTTAAAAAAAGTAGATTATAAGTAAGTATATTTATAGTAATTTTCTAAACAAATTTGCCTGGAATTGGCTTACAGTTCAAGGGATACTTTTTATTATAAAAACATACAGTTCTATTGGTTAGTTTTAGGGTATGTTTAGGTGTATCAAAAAAGTAAATGCAAAAGTATCAAAAACGTAAGATTTGCATTAGGGAAAAGCAGAATCATATGAGGGTTTATAGTATCACGTGATTCTGCTATTGGAATATTATTTGGGCCTATCGCTATATACTATAATATCGATATTAATTGACGTATTTAATTTACTTCTCGGCAATCTTGCAAATGGCAAACTATCCTGACGCTAATTATTTTGGCGGTGATTATGGTGTTAGCTATTCTGGTGATAATTATGCTGGTGAATTCGATTGGAATAATTCATACTCCCAAAATACACAGATTAGTCCTGCCCCGATAGACAGTTTTCAGGAAATGGAGGGTAACTTAAAAAAATTTTTTTCCTTTTTAACTGAATAACGATGTTTCTAAAATCATTTTAATAAAAGCTGTTATGCGGCAAATTAATGAGAACTGGGAGTTTATGAAATCCGAAAACGTAAGTCATCAACTAAAAACGTTTCTGTTCATAATAAAAATAAATACTGATTTACCAAATAACAGTTCATCATATATATTTAACAATGATGTATCAAGTTTAACCCCGTATCGCTTGCGTTGCAATTACTGGATGATAGTTCGCTTGGGAAGGACTATAGGGCGTTTCAACAAACAAAATCAAGCCTTGACAGAGCACTTCAGTTTATCGTTAATGGTATCAACTTTATTCTTAAAATCAATTTTATTTTAAATTTTATTTGACTTTTGCTTAATGTTTATTACTTAGATTATTATCACGGGTTCAATAGTTCAATTGGTACATTTGGTGGTGTTATGAAGAATATTGGAGGTATATTTTGTGATTTAAAATGGAGTTTTAATCTTTAGTATTATTTAACAATGGGATCTTCTAATGTAAATAAATTTAGATTCTCAGGAAAGGGTAAAAGAGATGAAATTACAACTTAAAGCCTGTAAAGAGGCGTTGTCATCAAAAAGATCTGATTTACTTCAATTATGGTTCCGAAGCCAACAATATAAAGAGATGATTCGCATATTAGATTTAATGTATGTCGACTTATAATAATTCTAAGTGCATGTTTCTAGTGATTTGCTTAGATTTTTTTATTTTTTTTTTGCTGCATATATTTTAGAGAGGATTTCAAGGGTGCTCCTGAAAAATTCGAAGGGTTATTTAGAGAAAAACATTTTTTAACAGCTTCAAATTTACTTTTGGAATCCACTCGAATGTTAGAAAAAAAAGAAATGATTGGTATTGGTGCGTTATCTGACTTGCGACGATATTTCAAGGCGCAGCAAAGCGTAAGTACTCAATTTATAGGTAGATACATCCATAAGAGTCTGACTAATCTTTTTATTTATATTAGGCCCTTCATGAACATTTGATTGAGGAATTACATAATCATTTATATTTAAAGAGCTCATACTGCGATAGTCGATGGGTTAAATATACAAAGGATCAGAAAGAATGTGTGTCATTTTGATCGTTATTTGTTAAAATGTGTAACACTGTATTTATCTGCTGTTTTCACGGAAATTGTTATAGTGCCCTCGCCGCTAATGGAATGGAATTCTGCAAGAGATAGTCGTAAAATGAATTACGTTGGGAGCAAAAAAAATAAGAAAAATTTACACGGTAAGATAGACAGAATTCGGCATCTTAGTCCTGAATTAATGAATTTAAATATTGTTAAAATTAGTTAATACTGGTCTTTCTGGGGGCATTCTAAGCCCAAAGTCGCCGAAGCCTTTTATTACTGTTAAAGATGAAGATGACGAGATTGTAAGGATATATTATATTTTATTCTTCTGGAATTTACAATGCGATTCTGCAATTATCTAATTGTTGTTACATGTAACTTTTATTCATAGATTACCGAAAACCTAGATATCAATCCGGAAACAGATTCATTTTATTACATGGAAATTTTAGTAGAATCTCTTGCAGCTTTAAAAAGATTGCCTCAAGCACTTGAGGTATTCTTCCTTATAAATTTACATCCAATTATTTCAAGAATGGTCAAATAATTATATAAAAAAATAATCTACTCCTAACAGACAATTACTCAAAGAATACCAATTGAATTATACCAATTAGTGGATAAAACAGTTGCAGAAGTCGAAGAAAGGTATTTCGCTGTTTTTTCTTTTTTTTTTAAAAAAAAAAGAATCGCTATTTCCCAATACATGTATAATCATAAAATTTATCGTTTTACAATATTTTTAAAGGAATGCTAACTCGTTTGCGGCGCTGACTACAAAGAAATATGACATGACAGAGGTTTTTTCTCTTGACGCTCCTGAAAATGATGCGCAATTAGAGGCGTTAAGAGATCTGCTATGGACTCTTTACTCAAAGCTAGATGCTGTTTTGCAAGGGCATAGATTTATTCTTGATGTTATTGAAAGAATAAACAAGGTTAGTTCACCACTACAGTCCAAAAAAATAAATAAATAAAAAATCAATTGTAAAAATAATTAAAATATTTCAAATATAATAAATAGAGACCAGAATTTAGCAAATCAATAGGTAATCCAGTATTTTACACCACATTTACTATTAAATATTACTAATTAATCTAATAATGTTTTGTGTTATAGGATCTCAGATCAAACTTTATCCATTCTCTGAGATATGGAAACCAATTCAAAGCGAGGCATGGTTATTCTTTATAATTTGCACTTAGCATTGGTTATCTTAGTTTGATTTACTGCTATTCTTATTTTATTCGTCTTAATATGTGTGCATGCAGGTTCGTACGCTTCTACGTGACTATATCACAAATGATGAAAGAGATTCAGCATCCATAGATGCTCCAGACGCATTACTTCAGGATCTTATGAAAGAGAAGAAACCTCGTGACTCTTCTAAAGTATTCATTATAACTTATAACCAATCTTTTGAATTTGCGGAATTTTGTTATTAATAAATTAAGATATTCAACTATTAAATCCATTTATTTAGCAATTATTTAAATTTGGAGATGCTGACCTGAAATCATACGCTGTCTTTGATCAACAATACGAAACAGATATTAAAACGGCACTTCAAAAATTTCTTCCAGAGACGTTTTCCAAAACTCCAGATGAAAGACAACTTTCTGTATTTGTGGTAGATCGATTTGCAAATACAAATATAACTGCTGGCCATCGTCTTGTAGTTAAACCAGATGCCTTTAATGTTTCTGTTTTATTCAAACCCACGTCAGCCTTTTTGGAGAAGGTCAAAACAATGTTGCCTCCTGGGTTAGTTTAAACTTTATCTCCTTATAAATAATTGGTTGTCTTTCTTATTTATCCCAATATCTTACGTATTTACAATAGTGATCATCGATCATCGGAAGATTTCACTACTTTTCTTGATGATTTTGTCTCCAATGTATTTTTGCCTCAAATTGGGGATAAAATTTTTGAATTGTTTCAAAAAGCCACATCTGGTAAATATATATGAAATGAGTTCACTCCTACTTATTATTTATTTACAATTGTTTCTTGATTACTTTCGTCATTAGAAGCTGATGCCTTTCAGGATGATCCAAATTATAAGAGTTACACGACTCTTCCAGTGGTCAAGGTAGTTATATATATATTTCGTAACCATACATAAATTAGGTCATTTACAAAATAATAATTATAAAATACAGAGTACAGCATCATTGATGATAATGGTTGAACGTCTATGCGTCATGCTTCAAACCATGGCAAGTCATAAGGAAGAATTTAGCAAAATGATTATTTCTTTACTTACGCGTTATTATGTAAAATGTTTTGAACAATATCAAGGTAATATCTATTAATCTGTGTTAGTAAATTTACTCTTTTGCATTCAGATTTCTTAATGAATGCAATTATATATATTACATTAGCCATTGTTGCAAAAAATTCGGGCGAAGCAGATTCAGAGGGTACCGGAAATCACCAAGGAATTAGTGCCACTTGGGTACAGCAAGATCAATTGGCTGAAATTTTGGGTCAGTATCCATACCTTGATGATGATACTGTTAAAAGCCGCCGAAAACGTAAAATGCTATGTGATAAAGTAAGATTAAAGTTTATTTTACCGTTTCATGTATGTGATATATATACTATATATAATATACATATCTTTTTAATATTTAGGAAACAAGAGTCGAGATGCATTTTAAGAAGAAGCGATATATTCGCTCCGGAGAATTGATAATGGAAAACAAAAAGATGACTGCTTTGGGAACTTTATATCACAGTTTGGTAAGAAATGAATTAATTTTAGGCTATAATTTATTTTATGATTGCTTATGTTGCTACTTTTTGTAGAAATGGTTTGTTGCCAAAATTTGGGAACTGCGTGGAAGAGGCAACCAACCTACTAATTTACCAACAAAAATGGATGATGCTGCAAAAATGGATGATGGCAAATTGGTTAGTATTTATCACAATTTATTAATAGCATATTATTAGAAGATAATAATAATTATACTCTAGGCAAAAAAAAATCGAAGATGGTCGCAATATGGTGATATTAATCTTAACCATGGACCAGAAGATGATGAAAAAAAGAACGATGACAACCAAAATACCGGTTTATCACTGACAGACGAAATGACAAAGTATGCGTCTTAGGTGTATTCATTCATGATCTTTTAATTAAATGCATTATAAATCTTATTGAATCATTCAATATAGCCGTTTTGATGCCTTATTAGCTACATTTCAACAATTGGCTGAACAATGTTTATTCACTTTGAGAGTTGAGCTTCGTTGTCACGTTATGTATTATATAGATTTAGCAATGCGTGAGGTATTTAAATATATAAATTAATTTTTTATGTAACTAGATTTGTTACATCCTAATAAGTTACCTTAACAGGGCAACTATCAACTTGACTATGAAGCTTATGAACCAGATCCACATGTTTTAATATTAAATGCTGACATGGTAAAATTTGAAGAAAGCATATCTTCTAATCTTCCATTAAAAGAACACAGGTAAACAAAATAGGTGTCGCATTAATTAATAATTGTCGTGGCTGAAACTGGAAACTTTAAATACTTTAATATGAAATTTTCAAAATTTTTGTGCTTTTTTTTTATAGTTAGCTTAGGATTAGTTTTGATAATAAAAATGTATAAGTGGATTTTGGTAGGGTTTATATATTTTCAAATCAAGATCCCTAATTTCCAGCTTCGGCCGCGACAATAACTAAATATCGATCACGCAATATATCTAATGATCTCTAATTAACGACATAAAAGATTCATGTTTGAAGGTCTGGATGCTCTTATGGAACACGTCTTAGTTTCTAATGCTACTTATCTTAGGAATTTGAATAACAATGGTATTATGAAAATGTCACGTAATGTCCTTGCATTACAACAAAATTTGAAAAATATCGTTGATATGCCTGTCGAAATTTCCTTGAACAAGGCAAGACTGTACTATGAATTGTATAATTCCGGCCCAGCAGTAAGTACTTATATTCATCAATATATTAGCTAAATAATTGTACTAAGCATATTGTTCAAACATTCTTATTAATATCATTAGAGCATGCTAGCGCAAATTAGAGAGCAAGGTGCTGTTTTCACATTTGACGAGTACAAGACAATGTTAGAAATTATGCATAAGATTGATCCATCAGAAGTGCAACAATTAACACTGAATAGAAGGGATAGTCCATCAGCAAATAGAAAGTTATATAATGAACATGTTTTAGAATTAAATGAACTAATGCTTGATTATCTTTAACTAAACACTCATAAATCTAATATTTATATTTTGTTAAATGATAACTTTTTATTATTAATATATTGTACTAATAATATTTTGAATAAATTATGTTAAAAATCGAATGGTTCTTTGCAAATAAATAACGATAATTGAAACTATAATGTATATATCATAATGAAATCGATCAAAATGAAATTTGGGATTTCTATTTATCTAAAAAATCTACTCTAAAACTAGAATCACCAACGAGATGAGATTCCACAGACTCACGAACTTTACTCTTAATATTGGCTACTTCCTTTCGTTTTAGTTCGTGCACACTAGAACCCAGACCAAATTTAACTGTCGCATATTCTTTAACGGCAGCAGTTATTGCTGAGGGCGAATAATTTTTAACTGCTTCATGCTCCACAAGTATTCAGATTGCTTTGGAATGTTTGATTTTATTTACTTCCTCCAAGGAATATGCATGATTTGGGGAATTTATATAGCGTTCGACTTTCACTTTATTTAACGAAACTAACCAGAAAACTTTTACTTTCGCTTCGCATAGTCCCGAAAGTTGTATTTTCGTCACTCGGCGTTTCTCTATCGGAATATTTTCTTTTTTACGAGTACTCGAATCCCGATGTTTTGTAAAGTGGCAGGCGAATACTTTTGAAACATCACCATTCATGCTTTTATATCCATTCCATTGTGTTCAAATGTTAGTGACCAAAGGCCACCAAGTATTATCGAAATCATCTATTGGGATCTCCAATGGAAAGTTTATATTGAAAAGAAGGCCCCGTTTTTCGTCTGAAGTGAGATTCATTATTGATACGGCTGCTGAAGAGGCAGCAATACAAGCTAAATCTATATCCATCTTTCGCTTACAATAATAAAAAAAACGACAAAAAAAGTGAAAGTATCCACAAAAAAAAGTGAAAAGTATCCACAAAAAAAAAGAAAAAAAAAGTAAAAAGTGTCCACAAAAAAAAA